GAAGCTGCTTCCCATCTGCTGTGAACCTTCCAGTATTTGGAGATCATGGGACCACTGATTTGTGAGGTGCAGTTAAACTATGTCACATGAAAAGAACCAGACCAGGGGCCAAAGATAACAGTGCTATGTAGACTCTCGGGGGCCAGCGAAGGTTTTGTTTTACAAGATCGTGTCCGTGTTTGGTCAGTGAAGCTGAGGCAGAAGGTGAATGAAAGAACGTTACTTTAAAGGCATTAAAGAACATGCCGGAGGAATGCATTTTTAGTGCAAAGTGTTCCGAACGGGGTAGAAGTACCGGGTCAGCCCAGAGCAAACAAGTGCAGCCTGTTTCCCTCCCAGCTGTGGATGCCAAAGCTGGCCTCGCATCCCCTGCCCTCAGATACCGCGCTCCTCGCATGCCCTTCCTCCTTCCTCCTTCCCTCCCTTCCATCCTTCCTTGGGACCTTTTGAGAGTTCACATGAACCTTAGGTTAAACAAGATGGATTCACATCTCTTATAACCAAGCCTACAAATCATTCAGACCTGAAAATTGTTTTCATACTTTATGTATTTCGTTTGTAAGGCTGGGGGAGGGGCGTATTTTATGGAAACAGATTGAACCAGGAAACATGACTGTGGCCATGAGAGAGAGACCACCCTCCTCACTAGTGAAGAAAGTGTTTGAACCCCACACCTGCGCCTAACCTCCAGCTCTGACATTTCATGCCTTTCTCTTTCTAATCGCTTAACTATCTTGCCATCTTTCGGTAGGACAGTAGCTGTGTGTGTGTGCTCACAACCAAGTGCCAGTCACCTGGCACCATCCGTGGGGTTGAGCTACAAAAACCAGGACGGGGTCAACGGTACAAGGAATTCTGTATCCGAGCAAAGTCTCAAAAACAAGTGTCTGCACCAAACACATGATCAGGTGTTCTTGGCCCTTCCACTGGGATTATTATTCCACTCATTCGAGAAAGACTTCGTGAAAAGAACGGGGTCTGAAGGAATTTGGAGACTTTTGGCTTATCCTTAAGTGCCCAGAAGAGGTTTGTGTAATTTACACTGCCAGGTTTCCATGGCTTTCCTAGTGAAAAGAGAGAACTTAAATGCCTTCTTTGCTGCCTACTGACTAAAAAAAATATATTTCCTATCCTTCTGAGAGAAATTACTGAGATTATTTTTAAAGAGAGTGAGGGCGGGGTGGGTTGGGGAGCGGGGAGGAGAGCATTACCGAGTCAGACACCCTTATCCTGCCTACGTAACTTCAGCTACACAGTTATGTCTTATCTGCTTGCTAACTGTATGGCGATAGGCCTTGTATTTTAAAGTTGCACAAATAGTAGCATGAGTATCGTTAAAAGATTGCAAGCCGGGGCTTCCCTGGTGGCGCAGTGGTTAAGAATCCGCCTGCCAATGCAGAGGACACGGGTTCAAGCCCTGGTCCGGGAAGATCCCACATGCTGCGGAACAACTAAGCCCGCGTGCCACAAGTACTGAGCCTGTGCTCTAGAGCCCGCGAGCCATGACTACGGCACCCGTGTGCTGCAACTACTGAAGCCTGCACACGTAGAGTCCGTGCTCTGCAACCAGGGAAGCCACCGCAATGAGAAGCCCGCGCACCTCAACGAAGCGTAGTCCCCGCTCGCCGCAACTAGAGAAAGCCTGTGCACAGCAACGAAGACCCAACGCAGCCAAAAATAAATAAATAAAATAAATAATTTTTTTAAAAAAATTATAGTAATAAAAAAAAAGATTGCAAGCCACCTTCATGATTTGGAGTTGAAAGTTATTTGAAGTCAAATATGGAACAAATGACAAATGTCTTAAAAGAAGAGATTTATAGAAATATTTGTTAAAACATAAACTAGAGAGGTAAATCCCCAGAGAGCTTCCAGAATGAACTCATGCACCGTGCTAACGAGAGTCAGAGGTTTCCCAATGAAGGTGCATCAAGGACATTTGCCGTTCCCTCTGTGACCCTCTCAACTAGCCTCTTAAAATTTGATCAACTTTGGATTTTGCTGCTAGAGACATTAAAAAAGCAGAAACTATTTGTATCAGATACCATCAGCTTGCTCTCTCTCGTGTCTGTGGTACCTACAATATTCAGACATGAAATCTAACATGGAAATTTGCTTTCCTTATCTTTCTTGCAGAATTAAGAGGAAAATAGAAGATGTTAATAGATGGTGTTTTAACAGATATGATCAGGCGATGGTACATTGCCTGTTGCCTCAAACATTGCTTTTTTCAACCCCAGATCTCCAAAGCATGACGTAAACCTGGACAGGGCAATTTTAGGCAGAATTTCACAGCTCTGCTATTGAAGTCCTGTGTTCATCAACAGGAAGAAGATCGCCCCCAAACGTGTTCTCAGCGTGGGGAGTCTCATGTGGGCATCATTAGGCGGTTCAGGGTCTTCCTATTCTTTGCTCCACTGTGGGGTTTCTTACCTCCAAGAGTGATGTAGGAACAGCTGAGCTGAGCCTCACACACCACAGTGCCCTTAAAGCCCACCTGGACCTCGGCGGGGCGGCCGGGCAGTGGCCGGTACCCAGGCGTGGTGGGTGGGAGGAAGGCTCGCAGCATGGTGGGTCCCAGAGCACTCAGAGCACCTCTGCTGGTCCCGTCTCGGCGCCCCGCGAGGCTGTGCCTCGTGTCAGGTGACGGCGATCACTCCAAGTTTGAGAATGCCAGAACCACACCACCTTCCCCGGTCCTTTTCAACCTGGCCGTCTTCTTTCTTCCCTGCGGTGCCTGGTGCCCACCCAGGCCGGCCTCGCCCTGTGGCCGCCCAGGAGAACTGGGGGTGAGACGTGAGGGCTGTGTCCGCCCGTCGGCTCCTCACCTCCCTGACGGTGACAGGCTCTGGTTTGCATGGGCCACCACCAGCTGCTCCAGTGCCCCTTGCTCAGGACAGAAATAGGCTTGTCCCGGCTGGAAACGTGCGCCTGAGAGGCGGGAGCTGCGGTGGAATGTGGCTCTCTCTGTGAAACTATTTTAAGGAGAAAAAGTTAGGCCCAGTTCTACTCATTATCTTGCTTTGCTCTCAGGAGCCAGGACTGTTGGTAAATCTGTTTCTCCTCCTTGACTATTTAAACTGTACATTCAAACTGCATATTAACTGGGGTGAAAAGAACAGTTTCCAAAATGACCCCATTTTAATCTTAAAGTCACGTCCTAAGGAAATCTCCACAGTGTCTCCGTGAGGCTTCAGACCCAGCCTTCCCTTCCTCCCCTTCAACATCTGAAAGATGTGTTCACAGCACCCCCCCCCATCTGCATCTCAGTTTTCTCGTAGTGATAACATCGTCAAACCGCTTTTCTATTTCCATCAACAGTTTCCTTGGCATCCAGTCCTTATGAGAACCTAGTTCCTTATGTCAAATGCCACAAATGTGTAACATCCCCCAAAAATGGCACCCAAAATATTTCTACTTATATGTTCCACTGAAGAGACACAAATGGCTGTTCTTCCCCTGCTACTGGGCTTCGAATTTCTTAGTTGTGTGTTTCTCTCCCCTGTTACCTCTTTCCTGCTTTGATAGTTTTGGGAAGTTCCATCTCCAAGGAAAGGAAGCTTTCACTCTAACCAAAGAATAGAGCAGGATTCTGGTTTTGTAACAAGGATTAAAGCCTCCAAAACATACAACGTCTTCGGATATTTTAGTCGCTGAATGTCGGTGATCCGATCCACTCTCGCTCAGGGGAGCACAGAGCAGGTGGGTCGGCGTGTGGGAAGCTGTTGGGGCAGCTGGCGCTGGGGATTAGGGTTGATGGACCGGGAACGGCCTGGAATCAAGTTCTCAGAGACTCGCTTAATGATCTTGAGATGAAAGAATTTCTTTTTGATATTAAGGCTCTCAGCGCATAGGCTTTAGAACTCAGACGTTCTTTTTTCCAGAGTATCCATGTATCAAAGAGGAGTATGTGTGTGTATTTCTAAGAGGACACAATGGTTCCATCAAGAAAAAGCTGCCCCCCCCACCCCCCGCACACGCAGGTAAGATAAGGATTCCTGGTGCACGAATCACACAAGAAGTTGACGCCATTGCCCCCTTTAGGCAAGTTGATAGTTCAAAGTTATAGGGTCCTTTTAGAGACATATGCTTAACACAGTACTAAAGTTTAAATTTTTTAAATAATTTCTTTTAAAAATACGTTGGTTTTCATCGCCCTACCATAACGTGACAGCTATTTCAGTGAAGTGTTTTTTAACATGTATATATAGTTAGTGTATTATTTATATGACTAATGCCACCAGATCCTCAACTAGATATTTATAAATGTATTTTGGACCTGTTTAGCCTTTGCTATAAAAGTGACCTAGACAGGCACATAGTAAGGTATATCATTTGTTTGAAAATTGTTAAATGAATCAGTGGCAGCTACATTATACCACAGTGCTCTTTCACTACGAAATCATTCGGTCAGAGCTGCACCTCATCTTTCAACAGTTGTAAATATTACGTGCAGACACTTTGAAGTCAGAGATGGTTGACTGAGTTTTGTTTTTCCTGCACTGTGTCCTCACTTATGGCTTTCAAAGCCGATCTTTCAGTTACTAACACCTTCCTGGGAGAAGGGGGAGGGACGGAGGCTTCCAGGCCTAATCTGTGCTTCAGGTTTCCCATACTTAACAAAGAAGACGGAGCGTGTGTGAGCGTGTGCCGGGCCTGCGGCGGCAGTGATGTTTCAGGGCTGGAGCTTAGAGTCGAGGCTCGTTTTCAGTCTGTTCATCCATTTAAGAGGCATTCGCCGCGTGCCTGTTGTGTTCAGGTGCTGTATTTTTAAGGACAACATACTTCAGTGTGTGTCTGTGTGCACACGCGTGTGTGTGTGCACATGCGTGTGTTCTCTGTGGGCCTAAAAAGCCCCAGTGCGAGGTTTTCAAGCTTGAACTCCAATGACTGGTTTCATTTATTCAAGAAGTATGTATTTCCCTCAAGATGGAAAGTGAATTTCTTTGCATTTTGTAGTTTTGAAGATGCTCATGGTTGGTTTGATGTGTTTTTTTCAGTGTCCATTTATGGAATTTGGTTTTACGACAAGGAAGAATGCCAAAGAATTGCAGAGCTTATGAAAAAGTAAGTGCTGCGGGCTGAGTATTTGTCAGGACTTGGTGCTTTGTATTTCTAAGTGTACGTAGCTACACTGTAATCTAAACAGAGCACGTCTCTGACAGCAGTCCTTTTCGCCATGGTTAGGAACACATTCACTATTACTTAATAAATGAAAAATAAACATACATGACAGTGTTTTACATTTCCACCAGGTAAGATTTATTATGTAGAAGGGTTCCCCTCATTTTTTCCTGCACGTGTGCAGAATCTATAATATGAATTTTTCCAGATGGCAGTTCACCTTAATATTATCCTCCTTTGTAAATTAGCAGCTTTTTCCCTTGAAAAGGTATCAGTATATCTCAGTGAAGAGAACATTCAGAGCCCTTCTAAAAGGCTGTCCCAGATCCTCTGGGGTGCCCACATCCTTCCTGCCCTGAAATCTGCCCGTGGGGCTCAGACCTCCCTCCCTTCTGACCCTGCGAGGGCTTCGGAGAGTCTGTATTTTCAGTTCCTTTGGGAGTATCTGAGCTAATACTGATTTAGTGATCAGTAGACAGCCCCTCTCTCTGTCTCTCTCTCGTTACTAGTCTCTTTTTTCGTTAATCTCACGAGGCCTTGTGATTCACCCCAGTCAGCACTGGGGGAAACTGAAATGACTGTGCCTGTCCCGCTCTCGCTGCCCTGAGGACCCCGAGAGGAGGCCCGGGTCAGCACGCCGTCTCCTCTGGGATCCGTCAACCCCTTTCACGGGTTCTTGAGCCCCAGGCCTGCTCACTGGGACGCAGTTATTTCCCTGCACTTATGCAGATGGTTTAGAGCCTCAGAAGGAAATGAGTTTCCTGCACGTGCAGGAAACTGACCCACCTGACCCAGGACTGGACTCGGCCGAACACAGGGTCTGCCTGCCGCCAGCGCGGATTCGACAGAGCAGCTCCGTCTGCAGAAGAACCATTTTTCAATTTTAAATCCCGGGTCAAGGAACTGGCTAAAGAGTGACCCCAGAATATGGAATGTGGGGGGACTGTTTATAAATAGGATTGATTTCCGAGAAGCCCATTTTAGGTAACTGCAGGTGGGGATTAGGCTGTGTTCAAACTGGTATTTACCACCATAACAGCGAGTTCCTAGAACACCCATGTTATTGTAAACTGTGCAATGGATGGTGATAGCAGGATCTCATGCAGAGTAAAAAACACCCTGTTGCCCAGCCAAGAGGCCACGTAAAGACTGTCAGATTCCCCGGTGATTCCTTCACAGCTGGGGCTGGGAACTGGTCGTTGGTGAGCAACAAGACGCCGACGTGTGTGGATTCCCTGCCTGTCCTCACTTAGAACTGAACCTCTCACCGAGCCCTCAGGTCTCCTTCCCCGTAAACGTCACGGCAATTATGAAGGAGCATGGGCTGCGGCCAGAGCCCACGCAGCGGGCAGTATTCCCCTCAGCCACGCTGTAGCACGGAGGAGCGACCTGGCCTCCCTCCGTGTTGTTTTCAGGAAAGCAGAAGGCGCTGCTCACTGCTATGTTTTCGTACCTTCTCCTGGGGTGGAACCTTCACTGTGTTTCTAAACCACAGGATTCGAGGGGCTGGAATCAGCCGCGCTTTGCCTTCAAGGCCCTTTGGAACCAGGGGCAGACGCCCGATTTGCCGTGCGGTTTGCCCAGGGCTTGAGAACCCTAAATTGGGTTTCCTCAGCAACACACAAGTCCTTTCTACTGCTCTCAGTGAGGAGTTGGCAAACTTTTTCTGAGAAAGACCAGTAGTGAATACTTTCGGCCTTGCAAGGCCGACCGGTCTCCATCCCAGCTGCTCAGCCCTGCCCTGGCTGTGTGACAGCTGCCACAGGCCATGCGTCATTAACTTTCTGTACAAAACAGGCCCGGGCGGGGGTGGCCCTCCCCACTCTGGAGGTGTCCGTGTGGTCGGTGTACTCGGGACCTCAACTCCCATTTTTCTTCTTTCAGTTCCAGCAGTCTTACTTCTAACGTGATTATAACAAGATAAAAACAACTGGGTGAGAACTGCATGGTTTCAAAAACCGGTTGTGTTGAGTTGGCTTTTCTGGTGTGGATTTCCCTTCCTTTTTTCTAGCCTCACTCAGTACGAACAGTTGAAAGCACACCACGGAGCGGGGGCGGCACTGGGAGCGTCCCCTGTGGGCCTCGGCTCGGGAGAGCGCAAGGAGGTGGACATCTTACGGATGCTCACCAAGGCCAGAGACGAGTACACGAAGGTGAGTCTTGTCTCCCTGCAATGCGTACTTAAACTCCACGGTGGGGACCTGCGCCCTGAGACGGACTTGGTGCCGTTCCTCCCGTCAAACAAAAGTGCAGGAGAAATACAATCTTTATCGGCTTTTAGTAGGCTGAACACTGTTTGCTTTTAAGTGGATTCAAAGGCAGCCCGGGAAATCAGTAACCTGCGTATATACAAATAGCTTCCAATAAGAAGACCCCATTGACAGTAGCAACAAATTAATATAAAATTCTTCGGGATAAAATTAACAAGAAATGAGCACAACCTGTGTGGAATAATCATGGCTATCCTTGGTGGTACTAGGGCACTAGCAGTAGGAAGGACATCCTACTTCCTCTGAAAATCGGCAGTCGGTGGAAAGAATTAAGCATTTATCCTGCCTGGTCAAGGGCACTGGATAATCCAGGTTGATGCGGGAAAGGCCTTCTCCACCACAGAGCTCCAGCTGTTAAGCGTGGACGGAATGACAGAGCCTAAAGCCCTGGTGGAGTAACTGAGTCAGGTACGGACCATCAGTAACGTTCGTGCTGTGAGAAAGGCGGACGGAAACCTGACCATGGGCGGGTCGGGCGGCCGCGCACAGCGGCCGAACGTCAAGTACGCGGCACGCCTGGAAGTGCTCCTGCCAGAAGAGATGATCCTGAACCTAAGTCTTGAGCGCTGACAGAAAATGACAGGGGAGGGGAACAGGGCAGGTAGAAAACAAGTTAAATGACACCAGGAAGCAGTCAGAAAGGCCGTGTGCGGCATGGGTTCCTCGGGGACAGCCTGCCAGGCTTCTGCACATGCCCTGGAGGCGGGGCCAGAGGCCACACTACTGGAGACAGACACCCCCGCGGGTGTCTCTGGGCGCGCCCCGAAGGTAGTCAGCGCTGCCCGCCCAAGGGCTTGTTGAACAAATGTGAACAAAGCGCGGTTTCGCCCGCCCACCCTGTCACGGCCCCGACCCAGTTGCTTTCTCCCCAGCCTGGGCCAGTAACAGCAAGGTCTGGATCTGCTTTTTATTTTGTTTGATTCTTCAACAGCCGTGAAAAAATGTCCCAGCGACTTAGTTATACTTTCCTAACTGTACTATGTCAGGCACAGCGAAGATTCATCTTAAAGGCGCCATTTTTGCCCTCGAGGAACTTAGGTTCTGTGACGACGGCAATAACACTGGCCAGTATAGATAAGAAATGCAAACGCTGAAGAAAAATTATTTTCTTTCTTCTCCCTCCCTCCTCCCAACACACAGACACAGACGCAAACACACATACTGTATTGTTTCTATTTTATGATGTTTTGACTTGTTGAAAGTCTAGCTGGGGAGAGACTGTCCCTCCCCAACCAGCCAATTCTCCGAGATACCAGAGGCCTAGCCAGGAGGGTGCCTGTGACCCGGAGACCCAGCCCTGTCTGCCCGCCTACCCCGGGGCGAGAGTCCTCCGCCCTCGTCGTATCAGGGCCACTCCTGTCATCTGGAGCCCCCGAAATGATTCAAACACGCCCGTCCTAAAGTGCAGAGACCCCGGCAAAGGCTGCAGCCTTAGCTCTGCCCTTGCTCCTGCTTCCCGCCCGCCCGTCACGAGGCACCCTCTGCAACAGGGGGCCCTGCGGGGCTGCTGAGCCTGTCTCCAGGCCCGGGGGTGGGAGCGGGTGATGCACCGCTCCCTGAGCCTCTGAACGCAGAGCTCACGCACACTCAGAAGTACCGGTACCATCACTTCGTACTGTACCCGCGACTCGCTAGAAACTAGTGTTTCTCTATTCTGTTTGCCCTTCAGAATCTACATCTCCTTCGAGGCCCAGGAAAAATGCCACTTCTTACGTGGAGTTTCCCCAGATCTCTTCATTCAGATTGATTGTCCCTTCCACTGCACTCACCAGTGCGTTACCCTTTAGAATGTATTTTGTTCTTCCTCATTTGTTACACTCACAGCAGCCTCTCCCGCTGTGCATAAACTTGTTGAGGTCGAAACAACGTTCTATCCGGTTGTGACAGTGTTGACACGAAGGGAAGACAGAGGTCTAATCTGTGTGCAGACTCTGTTTTTCTATAAGCTCAAATACATGTCATATGCATAATGTTCATTGCTCCAACTGTGCGATAAATAACAGAAGAAGCTCTTCCTTCTGCCGTCACAGGCCAGGTGACGCCACATCACGTCCAGAAGTGCCTGCACGGTCCTGTGAGCCCTGGTCCACATCCTTCTCGGTTTCTCACCGCCCAGAGTGTAAACCCCGGGCCCCTCCGAGTGCCCTGCCACACGGTCTCGGGTGACCCTTCCAGCCTCACTGCCTTGGGCTCCCGCTGCCCCTGCAGACGCTGGGAACTCCTCCCAAACAGAGTGACAGTGTTGCTTCCTGAAAGTGCCTTCCCGCCTCTCCGCAGGCTGGCCCTCTCCTCCCTTACGTACCTGGCGACAGGTGACGTCTCTGAAGGCCTACTTCCCGTGTTCCTTGTCCCTCGTGTGGTTTCTGATCTGCCCACTGGGTGTATTTGCCCCCGAGGAGTCCCCTTGTGCGAGGAAGCCCTGCTTTATCCTTGTCTTATGCTGTGTCATCTGCTCTCCCAACACATACGGACACGCCAGACAGTGTGGGGAACAGGAGTGGGCCGGGCCCCAGGTGCAGGAAAGGGACATGGAAACACAGTCTTTCCTCAGGATTCTTGCCGCGAGGAAGTGGATTTCCTGCTAGCAGAGGTTTTCAAGAAGAGACAGAATGATGAATACCAGGCGTGTTGCAGAAGGACCTCACTGGTCTGGATGCGTGTTAACCTGAATGACCTCTGAGGGCCTCTCCAACTCTAAACCGTGTAAATGTGTGAAAATCCCAAAAAGTAAGAGGAGGAAGCATTTGGAGCTGGAGGAAGGTGATACGGATAAAGTGAAGCCTGGTGACACAACTTTTGACGCAAAGTTAATAAAGTAATTTAAAAACCTTGTTTTGGCCGGTACTTTATGTTTTCTCCCCGAAGAAACAACTTCCTGTGGATCTGCTGTGAAGTAGCAGTGCTGTGACTTGGAGCTTCCTCCTCCCGGTTAGGCTCGGGGCTGGGGTGCAGGTGAGCGGGGGCAGCAGCCGGGCCAGAGCGGTCCTGGGCCACGGGGCTACGTGCTGAGCCTTCAGAAGTGGACTGTTTTGAAGAATACGTTTATACATGTGTAACTGAATCACTGCTGTACACCTAAAGCTAACACAACATTGCAAGTCAACGATACTGCAGAAAGAAAAAGAAAAGAAAAGAATAAGTGGACTGTTTTGTATTTAAGATGATTTTGTGTTTTGTGGCCTAAGGCAAGAATGAATAGTTGTCCTCTAGCTATGGTTCTGACTTACGAAATTAAAGAAATTACTGTCTTTTGATGTTCACTGAGAAAATTCAAGCCTATAAGAAAGAAAACAAAACTACCCATAATCCTACCACTCAAAGATGTCTGCTTTTAGCACTTCTAGTGTATTTTCCCCCCAACTCTTCTCCCCTCGTGGACACGTGTGTTTGTGTGATAACACGGGCTCATGTGACATTGTTGTTAAGGCCGCGGGCACTCTCAAGAACCCATTATACTTTCTCCAACTCTGCTCCCCTCGTGGACACGTGTTTGTGTGATAACACAGGCTCATGTGATGTTGTTGTTAAGGCCTCGGGCACTCTCAAGAACCCATTATACTTTCTCCAACTCTGCTCCCCTCGTGGACACGTGTGTGTGTGATAACACGGGCTCATGTGATGTTGTTGTTAAGGCCTCGGGTACTCTCAAGAACCCATTATACTTTCTCCAACCCTGCATGTTTTTCCAAGTAGCTTAAAGTGTTTGGGTCGAGAGAGGCATAGAAACTTAGACAAGTGGAAAACGAGCTGCAGACTGTCGAGATCAGTGGTGTCTCGTTCTGGGCACTTTCTACGTGACAGTGAAGCCTCATTGGTAGGTCGCCCGTCCTAGTGACACGGAAAGCAGCTTCTGGCCATCTTCCTCGGGGGTAGCTGTCTGCGGCCCACACGAGCGGGTACACAGTGAAGCAGTCTGCAACCCAGGGTCCCTGCACACAGGCAGGGCCACTCGCGGAAGTGAGCCAAGCGGCCACTTTCTCGGTAAAGGCTTTTCACGCCAACATTTTATCAGTGACTGTACGAGGCTACACTCTTGTTCTGCATTGGTGATCCACATCTTGGAATCCAGGCCAGTGGGTCCTGCAGCCGTCATTCACCTAAGAATTAGAAATGATATTTTATGACTCATAAAGTGATTTCACGTGCCATTCAATACTAGTGCCAAATATACAAAGTATTGGCAGAAAATAATTAGTCCTTTGTGCAGTTAACTTTACAAGCCTAAGTGAGCGTGGTAGTAAATGGCCCCAGGCGCCTACATCCTTGAGTAGAAAATACAGCCAATAGCCATAAAGCACACCGGGAACCGTGGGACCCCAGGGACAAGGTTGCATTGGCAGCCACTCCACCTCCAGATGGTGAGGTGTGTCCTGGCCCGAGGGCGCAACTGTGCAGCTGAAACTAACAATGCCACGGAGTCCACAGTGCAGAAGGCTGCGTTCTACAGTGAGTTTTATTTGGTGTTTCAACAAGGGAAACCCAGACATCACTGCCGTGCCCTCTCTGTTACGAATGCCACTGTGTGAGTGATCGCATGCTTGGTTAGATTAATGTGTGATAATGACTCAGGGTTTGAAACGATGAGGCTTGTCTCTCGTCTCTTTCTCTGTGAAATTCTAATTTGTAGCAAGCGACTCCAAACACTGGGATTTGAATTACTCTGTCTGTGCAAAAAGCCATTTGTTAAATAAAAATGATGTTAGTAATTTTTAAATCAGCGGTTTGGGTCGGCTTGACGTTTTGGTTTGTCGACTAAAAAGGGCTGGTTGCTGTGAAGACGCAGTGCTGCAGCCTTCAGTCAACTGCCAGGCGCGCGCAGAACCCTCCCGCGGCCCAGACGAGGCGCCGAGGGGGCGCTTCCTCCACCGTTTATCCCCGAAGGGCAAGCGGGAGACTGCGGCTGCTTCCCGGCGACCCGCCGCCTTTCAGGCATCCAGGAGTCTCAGGGCCTCCAGGTCCTGCAGGCCTAGGCACGGAATTGCACAAACTAAGAAAAATTCGACCTGAATTTGACTTATACTCAAATGTAGCTTATATCAGAGGAGAGTAAGGGATTTTCCTTTGTACATGGAGATCTATTTTTTTTTAAGTACCAACTAGATAAAATAAAGAGCAAGAAGATGCGTTCTTTTTAAAAGATTAAAGCTTCTTCTACACCAAAAATGAGGTTCTTTTTTCCATTTCAGTGTAAAGCCTGTCCTGAGCCCAAACAGATCAGCAGCTCGTCCGCCATCTACGACAACCCCAATCTCATCAAGCCGATTCCAGTGAAGCCCAGTGGGAGCCGGCAGCAGCGCGGCCCTCGGCCCGGCCAGGTGCACAGCCCTCTGCTCTCCGCCCGGGCCTCTGTGGGGCTCCTGAGGGACTTGGCCCGGAGTACGGTCAAGGCGGGGCCGATGCTCTGCAGGTGCCCTAAGGTCAATCCAGGAAAGAGAGATTCCAAAGTAGAGATTTTGTCATTGTTGATAATTTACTCTTCCTAGAAAGGGGTTGCAGTTTTTCCTTTTGGCATTTCCCTGACTCTGTGCTAATCCCTTGTGGACTTGAACTCCTTAGAGGATAATGTATTCTAAAATGACGCAACCTAATATCATGTCAGAGCTGACGGGACCGTTACACGTCGGGCTGTATTCTTCCGGGGTGGAAAGCTGGTGTCCCACGGCCCCTGAGGGAGCCACAGCCCACGCGCCCCCGTGGTGCCAGGTCCGGGGCCAGGCGCTGTGTGTGTATATGGGATTCCTGGTCTAAGGACTGGTGTCAAATCCCCCTTTAGACCTCATGGCTTGTCATTGTTTTTGCATCTAAGATATAAGCATGACAGCAGTTTCTGCGTGAGCGTATGTATTTTTCAGAAGAGTCCAGCGTCAGCAGAATCGCTGATCTGCAGGTCCCACCACTGAGTGTGGCTGCTTCCAGTTCTCAAGGTTATTCCTCACTAAAGGTTTTTTTTTAAAGGGAATTGGTTTAAATCAATTTCAAAAAAAATGAACATGGGGCTTCCCTGGTGGCGCAGTGGTTGAGAGTCCACCTGCCGATGCAGGGGACGTGGGTTCGTGCCCCGGACCGGGAAGATCCCACATGCCGCGGAGCGGCTGGGCCCGTGAGCCATGGCCGCTGGGCCTGCGCGTCCCGAGCCTGTGCTCCACAACAGGAGAGGCCACAACAGTGAGAG